TACAGGAAAGGACTGGAATTTGGATTGAGAATGTACAGAAAATGAACAAAAGTCATTTTCTGCATTGTGAAATGTAAACATAGACATCTTACAGCCCCCATGTGGGAGTGTGGCTCTTTGAGATTTTTCACATCTTGTTCATTGGCCTACTACAGTTTTGTGAGGGGCTCCAGGAGAAAATAGAATCTGATGGCAGAATCTGTAAGTGTAAATAAGCATCTTAGAAGGGAGAGAGCGAGGCCACAGAGTATCCAGAGTCATGACCACAATTATATTTAGCTGTAAAATGTAATACTAGAGTAGAGTATTTTTGCTCTTCCTCTTACCCAAGAGCTAGCAAATCAGAATGGGTGGTCCATGTTCTGGAGCTCTACCAGGGCAGTTCCATTTTCTATTTAGAGTTAGCCTGAGTCTCTCCAGCCTGGCTTATCATTGGGCCATGAGGCCCAGGTCACTGGGAATTCTCTCACAATCACCCAGTTGTCTTTGAGGCATTTGAGGATGTCCAGAGCAGAATTGTGTCAGGCTGACAAGAGTGGTTAATTCTGCTTCTTTCTCAGCGTAAGAGAAATGAGTCATTCTGTGTTTGTTCATTCCCTCGTACAAGAGATATCTGGTTGGTATCCAGATGAGAGTTTCTCCAGTTTCCTGGTACTTGGATAATAAGGAGAAGATCTGGAGACCCAGATAGATAAACTAGTTACTTCCGCTTCATATGGGCATTAAAAAAATACATGAAGCAGTCATATTTCCTACAGTCCAGAAACTTTTAGTCTAGACTAGCAACTGGATAAATAATTGAATTATGCATCATATGGTTGGTATAATAAATAGATGTGTCAAAAAATCTTGGGCTTTGTTTAGACCACTTTCTTTATATTGGTGTGACTTCTGATATCTACACCTGAAGGGAGATTTATGAACAAAAGAATTGTTATAAATTATTATTATTATTATTATTATTATTCCTGAGACAGAGTCTGGCTCTGTCGCCCAGGCTGGAGTGCAGTGGCCGGATCTCAGCTCACTGCAAGCTCCGCCTCCCGGGTTTACGCCATTCTCCTGCCTCAGCCTCCCGAGTAGCTGGGACTACAGGCGCCCGCCACCTCGCCCGGCTAGTTTTTTGTATTTTTTAGTAGAGACAGGGTTTCACCACGTTAGCCAGGATGGTCTGGATCTCCTGACCTCGTGATCCGCCTGTCTCGGCCTCCCAAAGTGCTGGGATTACAGGCTTGAGCCACTGCGCCCAGCATAAATTATTATTATTTTTTTTGAGATGGTGTTTCACTCTGTCACCCGGTCTGGAGTGCAGTGGCACGATCTCGGCTCACTGCAAACTCTGCCGCCCGGGTTCAAGTGACTCCCTCCTCAGCCTCCTGAGTAGCTGGGATTACAGGTGCCTGCCACTGCGCCCAGCTAATTTTTGTGTTTTTACTAGAGGCTGGGTTTCATCATCTTGATCAGGCTGGTCTTTAACTGCTGACCTCGTTCTGCACCCGCCTCAGCCTCCCAAAGTCTTGAGATTACAAGCGTGAGCCACCACGCTCGGCCATATATTTTCTATTTCTTTTACCTTGCTAACTGTAGATAGTTTTATTTTCTAATAAAATTACCCTAGAAAACCTTAAGGGATTTGTTTAAATTGCATATTAGTATATAGTATAAAGTTGTCAGGGCAGTGACTAGAAAAGATAAAAACTACAGAAACTCTGGGATTTAAGTTTCTTTTAGGTAAGCTTAGAAACAAGACAAAACTGGAAGTACCCTAGTTGCATAGAGAACAGAATTATACAAAGGGTTCCTACCCTGCCCCAGATGTGTTCAGATTCATCCTTTTTGGAGGCCTTCGTTAGGTCTGAACCTACCCTGGAGTATTGCCTCACAGAACTAATTAGAGGAGATCAGAGTTTTGGCTGCTGAATCCTGCTCCCTTTCTAGAACTGGTACTCACAATTTCCTGAAATTCAAAAGCAGATAAATGGGAAAAATAAAGTATGTGTTGTACGGTCTTTGTTTTTAAATTTTTATTAAAACTAGTGCAGAGACATTCTATTTAGCAACTTGTTTTCTATTCCTGCAGATCCAGTAGTTGCTCTACAAGTCAAAAAAAGTAAATATAAACAGAATGAAATTTTCTCTATATTACATTAAACTCTTCCTTTCTATATCTCTTTCATCTGTCTATATTTAGCTTTTATTCTATACAATTTTTTAAAAAATTTGATGACAGAGAAACAGAAGAAAAAATAAAAATGCTAGGCCCTTTATCTAAATCCTGAAAATTATGAAACCCTGAGTACCAGCTCCCAGAGTGTTAAGAGAATTAAGTAACATAATGTGTTATGCCCAGCGCAGTGCTCTGATTCATACTCTTGAGCACATAGTGCCTACTTAATAAACATTGTATTAGTACATGTGTTCATGTTTTTTAAATACAGACTTATTCAGATAAGTCTTCTGTTTCCTCTGTAAATTTTTTTTTTTTTTTTGAGACGGAGTCTTGCTCTGTTGCCCAGGCTGGAGTGCAGTGGCCAGATCTCAGCTCACTGCAAGCTCCGCCTTTCGGGTTCACACCATTCTCCTGCCTCAGCCTCTCGAGTAGCTGGGACTATAGGCGCCCGCCACCTCGCCCGGCTAGTTTTTTTTGTATTTTTCAGTAGAGACGGGGTTTCACCCGGTTAGCCAGGATGGTCTTGATCTCCTGACCTTGTGATCCGCCCGTCTCAGCCTCCCAAAGTGCTGGGATTACAGGCTTGAGCCACCGCGCCCGGCCTCCTCTGTAAATTTTAAAGAGCCAGGAAGAAATATAAAACTTTAAAATGGAAATGGGCTGTCCTTATTTGTACTAGAAGTATTTGGTTATGGCAAGAGTGCTAAGTGTAAGGGACCCTGTGCTGTTCATGCTTTCTCTAACCAATGCTAATAATGAGCCAGGGGGAAGCAACATCAGCATTGACAGGGGACTTGTTTAAAACACTCATTCATAAACCCTTTTCAAACATGCAGAATCACATTACAGAATGTGCGGCCACAATTATCAAGTGATTTATAAGGTCTTTAAAGCTTTAGAGGCAATGCTTAGCTTAGTGTTTATCAGCCCAGGCTTCTCATTAGGATCACATGGCTGATATGCAGAAATCTCTTGTGCCCAGGCTTCAAAATACATTCATGAGAGTTAAGTTCCACCTTTGCACTAGAGGGTGGTCACAGGGCCTATTCTATTTGGGTTTGGTAGGGACAGGTCATTGTGGTGCATGTTTCCATTACTGTAGCAGAAATTGCTGGTGTCTGTGGCAGGGGAGGGCACCTGAGGACAGGAAAGGAGAAACTTATATTTGCATCTTCATGGAGCAGCTCATTGTTCCTGAATTTCTTCTGTTTTAAAGGACAGAAATGGGTGGCTTTTTCTGTCTTTTTCTGCTAGATGATGTCATGCTAGCAGGTAAACATGTGGTACACTTTTAAAGACATATTCTTCAGATGCAGGTATAATTTGTACAGAGAATCTCATCTGAGAAGAAACTCCAGAGAAGGAGGAGAAAGAAAAAAAAAAAGGCTTTTCTTCAGGTAAACGTGTGTCAGATGAAGAGCTGCGTCCACTCTGCCTCCTGGACTGCCATGCATTTAGTACTCACAAACCTTTACTTCTCTACTTGTGTTTTTCCTCCCTGAGTTTGATTTAATTACTTCTTAAAATTCCTATGATAGTCAAGGGTCTTTGAAAAATATTTCTTTTATATATCCCACAGACTTCTGTACATTCTGTATGTAATAGCTTCTTATATGCCATGCAGAATTATCAGCAAGAATTTATGATCCACAATATTAAAAATATTCCCTTTGTGGCTCTTGAACATGGAAAGATGTGGATACTCAAGATTTCTATTGGGGAAAATTGTGGTCCTTGGTAAAGATGGTAAAGTAAAAACCTCCATTTATGTGTTCCATTGGTTCTATGCAGAATAGGATTCAGAAAATGCTTATTTAAATAGGATGGAATTTATTACCCAGAAAGTTCTGAAAAAAAAAATTATTAGGAGATAAGTGCTCTCTAGGGTGCTAAATGAAGCCTACTTAAAATTACTACTAAAAATTACAGAATGTAGGAGTTAACAGTATTTTGAAGTTTGTATAAAACTGATGTTTCTTTATGGTTAAATTCAGATTATAATTTATGTTATTTGGGAGGAATATTTCAATAGTGATGCTGTGTTCTTCTGTGAGCATTAACACATCATAAAAATTTGTCCTAGTGCAGTTAATGGTTAATGAGTCACTTGGTGAAGTAGCTCTCTGACAGATTTTTTCCACTATAGTTAATTATTTTTTCTCTTCATTGTTAAGCATCCTTATGCAGCAGATTTGCATAAACCATCACATTTAATCTGGCAGTTGTCCTTTTTTCTTTTTTTCCTACATAATTTTCTATGGAAAATGAAGGCTGTTATTTTTGTTTATAGGCCAGAAAAACTTGGAAAAACACAGGCTCTTCCACTTACTGGATGTTTGACAAAATATCCTTCTTGAGCCAAAAACATTGACATTATTGGTGAGCTTGTTACAAATTCAAAAAATCAGACTTAATTCCAGGTCTTCTGGGAAAAAAACTCCGCATAACGAGGTCTTCAGCTTATTGTACATATTAAAATTTGAGCGGTGCCTTCTAACTCAACATGTCTTCTCCATATGAAAAATATTCACATCTCATTCTGTATGATGTAAATATAGCACTCAAAAATGTACATGTTCATGCCCTTAATTTTATACTTTATTATCTAGAAAAATATCATATATGAACTGATGTTATGGATCTTATGCTGCCCTTTTTTTCTCAGAGAATACATTAGAGAATATTTCTGTGTTGAAAATTATTTTATTGGATAATTTTAGTCCTATAAGTCAGAACCACTTCTCTTTGCTCTCTAATTTCACCTTAAGTCAAAATAAAAATTCTGCCCATGTCCACTTGGTAAAAATGTGTGTCTGTATTTGTGTTTCAGGGACCATTGCAATTTAGAGATGTGGCCATAGAATTTTCTCTGGAGGAGTGGCATTGCCTGGACACTGCACAGCGAAATCTATATAAGAATGTGATGTTAGAGAACTACAGTAACCTGGTCTTCCTTGGTGAGGATAACTTTAATACATAATTCATAATATACCTGAAAGGTTTTATTTCTCTTTTTTTGTAGAATGTTTTTTAGTAATTTATTCTTTGCGTAAAGGAGTTTCAGATCGATTTTTTCCAGAAAATCTTCAGAATTTGTTCATTTAGAAAAGAGTATCTTCAGTGCTTCTGGCCTGTAATCCCAGCACTTTGGGAGGCTGGGGTGGGGGGATTGCCTGAGGCAAGGAGTTTGAGAACAGCCTGGCCAACATGGTCAAACCCCATCTCTACTAAAAATACAAAAAATTAGCCATGCATGGTGGCACGCACGCGGCTGTAATCCCAGCTACTTCGGAGGGTGAGGCAGGAGAATTGCTGGAACCCAGGATGCGGAGGTTGCTGTGAGCCGAGATCATGCCATTGCACTCTGGACGACAGAGCAAGATTATGTCTCAAGAAAAAAATTTTTTCTTCAAGATGTTTCATCTTAATCCAATCTTTCCACATTCCTGAGTTGAGAGGTTTCCACATTCCTGAAACCTCTTCAAGTTTCCATAAACTGATGTTTCATCTTAATCCAATCTTTCCACATTCCTGAGTTGAGCTGTATTTTTCACTCTAAATTAGTGGTAATTACAAAAATTTACTGACATAAAATATTATAGCCCCCACTTGAAAATCTAAATGCCACCACCAATTTTTGATTCCGTAGTACCAGGTAGTAAAATTAAGAAACCTACAAATTGGAAGTGTTTTCTTTTTCCTTTTTTTATTTATATTTTTGAGATGGAGTCTTGCTCTGTTGCCCAGGCTGGAGTGCAGTGGCGTGATCTTGGCTTACTGCAACCTCCGACTCCTGGGTTCAAGCAATTCTCCTGCCTCAGTCTCCCGAGTAGCTGGGACTACAGGCATGCGTTACCATGCTCGGCTGAGTTTTGTATTTTTAGTAGAGATGGGGTTTCACCATGTTTCCCAGGCTGGTCTCCAACTCCTGACTTCGTGATCCGCCCGCCTTGGCCTCCCCCTGACCTTGTGTTCCACCTGCTTTGGCCTCCCAAAGTGCTGGGATTAGAGGCATGAGCCACTGCACCTGGTAAATAGGAAGTATTGTTTAAATATCTATAAATTTCTGTTATACATTTGTATTTTGGTATTAATTTACTAGAATATTTTATCACATCGTCTTTGCTGATCACCTTATTAGCTTGTAATTGAAGAATATCAGCAAGATTCATGTTATTTATTCTTAATAAAACAGGTATTGTTGTCTCTAAGCCAGACTTGATCACCCGTCTGGAGCAAGGAAAAAAACCTTTGACTATGAAGAGACATGAGATGGTAGCCAAGCCCCCAGGTAGGTGCAAGTGAAAATGAATACAACAGACAACACAGTAAGAGGTCCCAAGGTCAAAGAGAAAGCCAGTCCTTAAAATGTGATTCGGGAAGCTGTGTTCCAAAGGAAATAGTTCCTGGGCAGTTGTTTTTTTGTTTTTGTTTTGTTTTTTAATTTTGGTGTCACAAAGGGACATCTTCTGTCTTATGCTTTTAAATTCTCTAAGGATTCTACTTTTCATTTGGTGAGCTTTCTTCAAGTTCACAGTGAGAGCCAAAGTCCTCTTCATGGCATATAAGAGATTGCACAATCTGGCTGCTTTTCCATTGTTTTGGGGACACAAAAATATCTGCATAATTTTGAGAAACTAAAACTACTTTTTAGTTCTATTTTTGCATCGGGTCTGAAATGTGTGAGAGTAGTAGTTTCTGTTGCATTTTTTTGTTCATTTTTCTTTATAGTCCATTACATTTTTATTACTATATAGTTTTTAAATATAATTTGCAATTATACATATGATATGTTTCTGCTTTGTTCTTTTTCCTCAAGATTGCTTTGGCTATTCACACTTCATTGTAGTTTCATGTAAGGTTTAGAATTGTATTTTCCATTACTGTGAAAAAAATGCCACTGCAATTTTGATAGGAAGTTTATTGAATCTGTAGATTACTTTGGATGACACTATAATAATACTTATTCTTTCAAGCTACAGACAGAAAATATTTTAAAATTATTTATATATCAATTTTTTTATTATAAAGATTTTTTATCTCCTTAATTTTTTTCTCAGAAATTTTTTTAATGATACATTAAATAAGATTTTTCTTCCTCTATTTTATCAAATAGTTTCTTTTAAGTACATGAAACCATTCATGTACTTGGTGTTAATTTTCTATTTTGATAATTTACTATTTACTGAGTGTATTTATTAGACAGCCTTTTTTTTTTTTTTTTTTTTGACAGTTTCGCTCTTGTCGCCCAGGCTGGAGTGCAGTGGCACAATCTTGGCTCACCACCACCACGCCTGGCTAATTTTGTATTTTTGGTAGAGACGGGGTTTCACCATGTTGATTAGACTGCTCTCAAACTCCCGACCTCAGGTGCTCCGCCCACCTTGGCCTTTCAATGTGTTGGGATTACAGGAGTAAGCCACCACGCCTGGCTAGACAGTTTTTAATGTACTGTTTATGGTTTTTAAAATATGAGATTGTATGATCTACAAACAGCAACTTTTTAACTTATTTTTCTTCATTTTCACTTTCTTCCCTCCCGCCCTCCTGCGCTCTCTCCCTTTCCTTTCCCTTTTCCTTTTTCCTTTCCTTTCCTTTCATGGGGTTTCACTCTTGTTTCCCATGCTGGAGTGCAATGGTGTGATTTTGGCTCACTGCAACCTTTGCTTCCTGGGTTCAAGCGATTGTCCTGCCTCAGCCTCCAGAGTAGCTTGGATTACAGGTGATCGCTACAATGCCTGGCTAATTTTTTGTAATTTTTTGGTATAGACGAAGTTTCACCCTGTTGGTAAGGCTGGTCTGAAACTCCTGACCTCAGATGATCCAACTGCCTCTGCCTCCCAAAGTGCTGGGATTACAGCCGTGAGCCACCGCACCCGGCTGGATTTTTTTTATTTCTGTGAATAATTCTTCTGTCATATACTTCTAGTGCTACATTCAAATAGATGTATTGCCAATGGGCACAATATAGTTTTGTATTGGTGTCTGAATGTGATGGAGCAAACACCTCTTCAAGTTTTCATAAACTGACTTTAGAAGCATTTCCTCAGGTAACCGTGTGGGTTTATTTTTTTCTTTCTTTCTTTATTTTTCTTTTTTTGAGACGGAGTTTCACTCCTGTTGCCCAGGCTGAAGTGCAACGGTGCGATCTAGGCTTGCTGCAACCTCCACCTCCTGGGTTCAAGAGATTCTCCTGCCTCAGCCTCCCAAGTAGCTAGAATTACAGGCACGTGCCACCACGCCCCAGTGATTTTGTATTTTGAGTAGAGAAGGGGTTTCTCTATATTGGTCAGGCTGGTCTCCAACTCCCGACCTCAGGCGACCCGCCAGCCTCCGCCTCCCAAAATGCTGGAATTACAGGCCTGAGACACCCAGCCTGGCCCAACTGTGTGGATTTCTATGTAGGCAGAACTGACCTTAAACTGTGGTTCAGGTAACTGAAATTGAGTCATTGATCAGCTTCAGGGACCACAGTAAAAGCAAAGGTCTGTAGCCCTGCCTACATGGCTGTAAATGGATGCCTTCATTTAGGTCTCTGGAATTGCAGGACGTCTCCCAGACCGTGGCTGGAATGAGTTTGGGATGGTTACAGATTAAGTTCAGAATTCTTAGTGAGACCAAGTTGGCTGAGTCCTATCCTGGTCTGTAGCCAAGAACAGGGGCTAACCCTGTAGTTTCCCACCTGAATGAGGGCCTGTCTTCTGAATAGAACACTTCTCAATCTTCAGCTGTAACAGCGTTTCACAACTCCCTCCCCAGATCTCAAATTTCTTTTAGAGGCACTTATTTTGGAAAAGTCATCTTGCTACATAACCCAGGCTGGTCTCAAAATCCTGGCCTGAAGAAGTTCTCCAACCTTAATGTACCATGTAGCTGTCATTACAGTTGTGAACCATAATGCCTGGTTTTCTTATAAAGGCATTTTTGTCAGGGATGGTTGAGATTTTTATTGCTGTAAGGGGATATGAAAATAGGGCACTTTTAATCTTACTGATATCACTCTCCCTATTTGTTTTTACTTTCTATTTTCTATTTCAAATTTGTCTGTAATTTTAGATTCAGATATTTAGGACAATATGCTAGAATTTGCATGGTATGCCTGAAGTAAATTAGGTAATTAGTAGGCACTCCATACTTACTAAAATAGTTACTTATAAATTTCAGTTTTCTGTAGGCAAAAAGGAATTAAAGGATTTTTATCTACTTACTTCAGCTTATATCTAAATAATAATAAGCTATATTTTCTAATATTTGTTTTATATATCAGAGGGTCTAACCCTATTCTGCAAAATACATGTTTTCTTTATTTAACAATGTAAGACTAGTCTTTGCTTCTAAAATTGGATGACAGCAGTTTCATTTTGTGTAAGAATAGCATATATTGAAAACATTAAAAGTAACTCTAGATTCTTTTAAGTGCTAATTTACTGTTTCTTTATTAGAATCTTGTTTATACTGCATATTCTCTGAAATTTTACTCCCACACAGTACATGCCAATGATTCAAAATACCTACATTTAATGAGTACAAACTAACGGTTAAATATTGCAGCTACCTAGAAATTTTTTGTTTGTTTTTGTAAGATGGAGTCACACTCGTTGTCACCCAGGCTACAGTGCAGTGGTGCCATCTTGGCTCACTGCAACCTCCACCTCCTGGGTTCAAGCCATTCTCATGCCTCAGTCTCCCAAGTAGCTGGGATTACAGGCATGTGTCCCCACCTGGCTAAATTTTGTATTATTAGTGGAGACGGGGCTTCACTATGTTGGCCAGGCAGGTCTTGAATTCCTGACCTCAGATGTTCCACTTGCTTTGGCCTCCCAAAGTGCTGCGATAACAGGTGTGAGCCACTGCGCCCAGCCTGACAGTTATTTTTTTGTGATACATCAATGTTGCATACTAGATTTTATGAGTAAACATTTCTATTATTGTTTCAAAGTTCCATATTAGTGTGTTTTCTCAGTGTAGGTTTTTTTTTGTTGTTGTTTTTTTGAGACGGAGTCTCACTCTGTCGCACAGGCTGGAGTGCAGTGGCGTGATCTTGCCTCACTGCAACCTCTGCCTCCAGGGTTCAAGTGATTGTGGTTCATGCCTCAGCCTCTCAAAGTGCTAAGATTACACGTGTGAGCCACTGCACCCAGCCTCATTTTAAGTTTCTTAACATTAGTTTATTGTGTTTTTTGGTTTTATTTATGTATTATAATTTTAGACAATTTGCAATTCTGTTTGTACACTTTAAGTCAATTTGAGTTTTAATTAAGAGATAAATTATGTATGTCTATCATAATCAGGTTACATATGTATGTGTGTATATCTGTAAATATGACTCCAATTTTAGTTATGGCTCATATTCTTTCTTAGCTGATTTTCCATGGTAGTTTTATCTTGTCTGAGTAGTCATGGAGATAGTCTTATTTTCATTATGTGTTTAATGATGAATATATATTTCTTTTTGTGAAAGAAACGCTTTTGTGATTTGAAGGTAATTTTCAAAAAGACTTACAATTCTGTATTTTTTTCAGTTTTTCTTTAAAGACATGGTTTTAAAAACACATAAAATAAAATTTGCCATCTTAAATTTATTGAAGTGTATATTTCAGGGCCAGGTGTGATTGTGGCACTGATGTGTAATCCCAGGATTTTGGGAGGTCAAGCCAAGAGGATCCCTGGAGCCCAAAAGTTTGAGACCAGCCTGGGCAACATGGAGACCGCTCTCTATGAAAAAAATTTAATAATAGGCAGGCATGGTGGTGTGCAACTGTGGTCCCAGCTACTAGGGAGATTGCAGGGAGTCAAAATTGTGCCACTACACTCCAGCTTGGGTGACAGAGTGAGACCTTGTCTCAAAAAAACCTGTTCATTTCAGGCATGTTAAGTATATTCACATTGTTATGCAAAAGACTTCTAGAAACTTTACATCTTGTAAAACTTAAATTCAATACCCATTAAGTAACAACTGCTCATTTTACCCTCTCTCTATACCTTGACAGACAAACCTTCTACTTTCTGTTTTTATTGTTTTGACTACTTAAGATATATAAGTGGAATCATACAGTATCCATAATTTTGTTACTGGATTAATTCAGGTGACATAGTATTCACAAAGTTCATCAAAAAGGTGACAAGATTATTCTCTTTAAGGTGGAATAATATTCCATTGTATGTATATGTTACATTTTTTAATATGTTTATAAATCAAGAGATACCTAGGGTGCTTCAGCCTGTTGGCTTTTGTGAATACTGGTTACAATAAACATGGGTTTGCTTTGCTGCCCAGGCTAAAGTGCAGTGGTGCAATCTCAACTCTCTGCAACCTCTGCCTTCTGGTTTAAGCAATTCTCCTACCTCAGTCTCCCAAGTAGCTGGGATTACAAGTGCATACCACATCGCCAAGTTAATTTTTGTATTTTTAGTAGAGATGGTGTTGTACATGTTGGCCAGGCTGGTCTCAAACTTCTGACCTCATGTATCTGCCCACCTTACCCTCCCAAAGTGCTAGGATGACAGGCTTAAGAAACTGCACCTGGCCTGTGTTACATATTTTGGATATAGATTTATAAATACTTTTTTCCATTTATGTATTTTTATGTCTAAGTAGTTTATTTAAAATATGTTTTTGTATCATTCAAGAAAATAAGCCAACTATATCAGTGTTTGAAGATAATCAGTTTTTGACCTCGTTTTTTGAAGAGATTATTTTTCTCTATTTTGTAAACATGGCAACTTCGTGGAAAATCATTTGATCATATACAAAATGGTTCATTTCTGAGCTCTCTGTTCTTTCATCTGTTTATCTTTGTGTCAGTATCATATTGTTTATGTTACTGTAGCTTATAACTGAAGGTTGTATTGATATCTTTGAAAAATGAATTTTTTTGCCCCCTGAGCAAGAATATGTTGAAGAGGGTGTGTTTCATATTCATATATTGTTGAATTTGCCAGTTTGACTTTTGCTTTTAATTCCTAGTTTTATTCAGGTTTTATTAGTAAACACCCAGTGCATAATTTTGGTGTTTTTAAATTGATTTGTTGTTGGTTTGAGACAAGATCTTACTGTCACCCAGGCTGCAGTGCAGTGGCAGAATTTTAGCTTACTGTAGCCTCAGCCTCCTGGGCTCAAGTGATTATTCTTTCACCTCAGTTTTTTGAGTAGGTAGGACTGTAGACATGCACTACCATGTCTGGCTAATTGTTTGCTTGTTTGTAGTGTTAGGATCTCACTATGTTGCCCAGGCTGATCTCAAACTGTTGACACCAATGGATCTCCCAAAGTGTTAGGAATATGGGCAAGAGCCTTGGCACCCAGCCAGTATTTTTAAATTAAATAAAACTTATTATATGTCCTAACAGAATATGCCAGATGCAAATAAGAATATTGTGTATTATCTTGGTTTTGACTGGAGAGTTTTGTGTGTGAAGCCTAGTTGGTCTATAATATAGTTTGGATGTCCATGTTGTCCAAACCTCATGCTGCAATATAAATCCTCAGTGTTGGCTGTGGGACCTGGTGGGACATGTTTAGGTCACGGGGGCAAATTTCTCATGAATGGCTTGGTACATCCTCTCCGTAACCAAAAAGTTTACACTCTATGAATTCAAATAAGAGCTGGTTCATTAAAATAACGTGGCTCCTTCACCTCACACTTGCGCTGCCTCTTACCACATAATATGTCCAGTTACTCTTTACCTTCTACCTTCATTTTAAGCTTTCTGAAATCCTCACCAGAAGCAGATGCTGGCACACACTTATATACTCTGCCAAGCTGTGAGCCAAATAAACCATTTTTTTTTTTTATAAATTATGCACTCTTAAGTATTTCTGTATATGCAAAATAATCAATATAGTCTATAATGTTGTCTAAGTTTTCTGGTTGTTATTTATTATCTGAATTTTCTATTATTGCAAACTGGGTCTTGATGTCTACAATCATTATGTTGCTATGTATATCTTGCTTCACTTTTATCAATATTTGCTTTATATATTTTGGAGCCCTGATGTTATATACACATATACATATAGATAGATAAGTACTATAATTATAGATTTCTGCTAAATCAACTCACTTTAACATCATATAATACCAATTTTTGTCTTGTAGAAGTACTTGACTGAAAGCATATTATGTCTAATATAATTATGACCACCTTACTCAATTGTGGTTACTATTTTCATGGAATATACATTTTTTTCATTCTGTTACTTTCAGCCTATTTGACTGAATGCTAAAGTAAGTCTCTTGTAGGCAGCATACTGTATGCTTTTTAAAAAAAAAATTCAGGCATTCTGTATCTTTTTCTTTATATAATTTATATATATATTTATATTTGTATTTATTTATTTTATTTGGTTTGTTTTTGAGATAGAGTTTCACTCTTGTTGCCCAGGCTGGAGTGCAATGGCATGATGTCAGCTCACTGCAACCTTCACCTCCCAGTTTCGTGATTCTCCTGCCTCAGCTTTCAAAAAGCAGGCATGTAATCCCGAGTAGCTGGGATTACAGGTGCATGCCACCATGCCCAGCTAATTTTTTGTATTTTTAGTAGCGATGGGGTTTCACCATGATGACCAGGCTCGTCTTGAACTCCTGAATTCAGGTGATCTGCCTGCCTCAGCCTCCGAAAGTGTTAGGATTAAGCATGAGCCACTGCGCCCAGCCTCATTTATTTTTTAGATAGTGTCTCACTCTGTCAGCCAGCTTGTTTGTATTTTTTTGTAGAGACAGAGGTTTGCCATGTGTCCCAGGATGATCTTGAACTTTTGGGATCAAGTGATCAGCCCACCTTGACCTTCCAAAGTCCTGTGATTACATTTCATTTTATTAAGTAATCTATATTTAAAATGATTGGTTAAAGAAATGAAGTTGTTATTACCACTCATGTCGTTATTGTTTTGTGTGTTTCTAGTAGTTATATTTTTCTCATTTCCTATTTTACTTACCTAATTTCCATTTAATTCTGTACCGGCATGCTTTGATTATATTTTACTTTCATTTGCATACTTTCTACAAATAGTATCTTTGTAATCATCTCAAAAACTGGAGATTACGTACATCTTAAAGTTAAAACAATATATTTTAATCTCATAACAACTTCGGTTGAATAAAAAAACTATGCCTCTGTATTTTCCAGTTTGTTATTGATATTAAAATTATTTTACATAGTGTATCTACAGGCTCACGCCTGTTATCCCAGCACTTTGGGAGGCTGAGGTGGGTGGATCCTGAGGTCAGGAGATCAAGACCATCTGGCCAACATGGTGAAATCCCGTCTCTACTAAAATACAAAAAATTAGCCAGGCATGGTGTCCCATGCCTGTAGTACCAACTACTCAGTAGGCTGAGGCAGGGGAATCACTAGAACCCAGGAGGCACTCCAGCCTGGGAGACAGAGTGAGACTCCATCTCAAAATATATATAGATGTATTTCCAAATACTCAGTTTGGTCTTATTAATTATATTGACATTGTTATGCAACATATCACTAGAGTGTTTTTATCTTGCAAAACTAAATCTCAGTACACATGAAACAACTACCAATTCTTTGTATTTTGTGGTTCTTTTCAAACACCACTCTGTTTTCTGTTTCTGAGAATATAATTGCTTTATATATCTCATCCAATCTCTGTCTTTTTGTGACGGTCATTTTATTTTGCATAATGTCATCAATATTTATCTTAATAGTTGTTAATAATATTTTCTACTTTTTGAAAACTGAGTGATATTCCTGTATTTTTGTGTCTACTGAATAATTTGGTGACACAAATTTGGATTACTTTTACTTATTGGCTTTCAGTAACAATGCTATAATAATTATGTGAAAGTTAATATAATATATGTGCTGCATTCTGTTTTATTAGTCTACTTTTTCAGCTTTATACTCACCAAATTATTTTAATTCTGTAGCTTTTGATGTGTTTTGAAATCAGAAATGGTAGTGCCTCTAACATTGTTCCTGTTTTTGAAGATTGCTGGGTACTTTATTGTAGGTTTGGATTCCATATACTTTTAAATTTGCTGTTTTTATTTCTTTGAAAATGCAGTTAGTCATTTGAAAAACATTGCATTAAATCTGTAAATTGAGCAGTAAAGACATCTTCAAAATATTAGTTATTTCTTTTTCAATTGTTTTTGAGATGGAGTTAAATTTACCTGCCTTACTAGTTACCTTGTGCCATTTTGGTTAGTATGTTTTTGTTACATTTATATGTGCAGGAAGAAATTACAGCTTGAGGTATTTTGCAATGTCATCTTATGTAGTTTGTATCATTTTATAGGTTAGGTTTGTAAAGTATATTTATCTGAGTCTAGCAATTGAAGCAATGTGTTTTTATTGTTTCTTTCAGTTATGTGTTCTCATTTTGGCCAAGACCTTTGGCCAGAGCAGAACATGAAAGATTCTTTCCAAAAAATGATACCGAGAAGATATGAAAAACGTGGACATGGAAATGTACAGTTAATAAAATGGCGTGAAAGTATGGATGAGTGTAAGGTGCACACAGGAGGTTATAATGGACTTAACCAATGTTGTACAACTACCCAGAGCAAAATGTTTCAATGTGATAAATATGGGAAAGTCTTTCATAAATTTTCAAATTCAAACAGACATAAGATAAGACATACTGAAAAAAAACCTTTCAAATGCATAGACTGTGGCAAAGCTTTTAACCTGTTCTCAACCCTTACTAGACATAAGAGAATTCATACTGGAGAGAAACCCTACATTTGTGAAGAATGTGGCAAAGCCTTTAAGTACTCCTCTACCCTTACTACACATAAGAGAATTCATACTGGAGAGAAACCATACAAGTGTGATAAATGTGACAAAGCCTTTATTGCATCCTCAACCCTTAGTAAACATGAGATCATTCATACAGGAAAGAAACCCTACAAATGTGAAGAATGTGGCAAAGCCTTCAACCGATCCTCAATCCTTACTACACATAAGAGAATTCATACTGGAGAGAAACCATACAAGTGTGATAAATGTGGCAAAGCCTTTATTACATCCTCAACCCTTAGTAAACATGAGATCATTCATACGGGAAAGAAACCCTACAAATGTGAAGAATGTGGCAAAGCCTTCTTCCAGTCCTCAATCCTTACTAGACATAAGATAATTCATAGTGGAGAGAAACCCTACAAATGTGAAGAATGTGGCAAAGCCTTTAAGTACTCCTCTGTCCTTGCTACACATAAGAAAAGTCATACTGAAGAGAAACGCTACAAATGTGAAGAATGTGGCAAAACCTTCAAGCAGTCCTCATACCTTAGTACACATAAGATTATTCATACTGGAGAGAAACCCTACAAATGTGAAGAATGTGGCAAAGCTTTTAACCAGTCCTCAACACTTACTAAACATAAGAAAATTCACACTGGCGAGAAGCCCTATGTTTGTGAAGAATGTGGCAAAGCCTTTAAGTACTCCTGTACCCTTACTACACATAAGAGAATTCATACTGGAGAGAAACCATACAAGTGTAATAAATGTGGCAAAGCCTTTATTGCATCCTCAACCCTTAGTAAACATGAGATAATTCATATGGGAAAGAAACACTACAAATGTGAAGAATGTGGCAAAGCCTTTGTTTGGTCCTCAGTCCTAACTAGACATAAGATAATTCATACTGGAGAGAAGCCCTACAAATGTGAAGAATGTGGCAAAGCCTTTAAGTACTCCTCTGTCCTTAGTTCACATAAGAGAAGTCATACTGGAGAGAAACCCTACAAATGTGAAGAATGTGGCAAAGCCTTCAAGTACTCCTCAGCACTTAGTACACATAAGATAATTCATACTGGAGAGAAACCCTACAAATGTGAAGAATGCGGCAGAGTCTTCAAGCGCTCCTCAGTCCTTAGTAAACATAAGAAAATTCATACTGCAGAGAAAACCTACAAATGTGAAGAATGTGGCAAAGCTTTTAACCAGTCTTCAACCCTTACTACACATAAGAAAATTCATACTGGAAAGAAACCTTACACATGTGAAGAATGTGGCAAAGCTTTTCACCTATCTGCACACCTTACTACACATAAGATACTTCATACTGGAGAGAAACCGTATAGATGTAGAGAATGTGGTGAAGCTTTTAACCGTTCTGCAAGCCTTTTTTCACATAAGAAAATTCATTCTGGTGAGAACAAACCATACAAGTGTGATAAATGAGGCAAAATCTTTATTTCACCCTCAAGCTTTAGTAGACATGAGATAATTCATACTGGGGAAAAACCCTAGAAATATGAAGAATGTGGCAAAGCCTTCAAGCGGTCCTCACACCTTACTATACACTGAGAGTTCTGAACTTACTCTGTAATCATGCCAAACTCCTCCCAGCCACAGTCTGGCAGAGGTCCTGCCATTCCAGAGACCTGGAGGAAGGGGCCCATTTACAGCCATGTAGGCAGGCCTGCAGACCTTGGCCTTTACTATGGTTCCTGAAGTGGTTCAGTGACTCAGTTTCAGTTACGTGAGCCACAACTTAAGGTCAGTTCTGCCTATATAGAAACCCACACAGTTATCTGAGGAAATGCTCTCTGGTATTCACTGAAAGCCATACTCATCCACATCTTGATACAAGGCCCACCATTTGCAGACCTGACTGCAAAAACATGCCCTAGTGTCTGCCCTACAGAGCAAAGTCCTGAAGGATATTTAGTCTGTCCAGAACTAAAATGAAAATTACAACTCCCCAACCCCCTCTAACAAGCCAGCTAAAGGTGAACCCTAGTGCAGACCCAGCAACCTTGTGACCAAGCTACAACCCCTCTTCACTACTAATTCAGAGAGTATCTCATCACCCTAAGGGCCAAACAAAAGATCTTTACCTTCTAAAATCAGTGTACGAAAAATTGAAAAGGTGTTTGCTCCATCAAATTCAGACACCAATACAAAACTATATTGTGCCCATTGTCAGTTGTTCTATTTTAATGTAGCACTGGAAGTATGTGGCAGAAGAATTAGTCAAAGAAATAAAAATAGCCATTGAAATTGAAGAAAAATAAAAAGTTGCTGTTTGTAGATCATACAATCTTATATTTGAAAAACCTTAAGCAGTACATTAAAACCTGTCTAAACCAATAAATACACTCAGTAAATTAGCAAAATATAAAATCAACATACATTAGATATATGGTTTTATACACTTAAACTATCTGATTAAACAGAGGAACACACTGGGCACTTTGGGAGACTGAGGCGGGTGAATGATCTGAGGTCAGGAGTTTGAGACCAGCCTGGCCAGCATGTTGAAACCTCATCTTTACTAAAAATACAAAAATTAGCTGGGTGTGGTGGCTAGCACCTGCAATCCAAGCTCGTTGGGAGGCTGAGGGAGGAGAATCCTTGAATTTGGGGGGTGGAGGTTGTGGTGAGCAGAGATCGTGGCATTGCACTCCAGGCTGGGCAACAGTGCCAGACTCCATCTGAAAAAGAAAAAGGAGAGGAAGAAGAAAATCTTATTTACTGTAACATTAAATAATTTCTGGCCAGATCTGGTGGCTCATGCCTGTAATGTCAGCACTTTTGGAGGCTGAGGTGGGTGGATCACAAGGTCGGGAGATCAAGACAATCTTGGCCATGGTGAAACCCCATCTCTGCTAGAATACAAAAAATTAGCTGGGCATGGTGGTGCATGTCTGTAGTTTCAGCTAATTAGGACTGAGGCAGGGGAATCGCTAGAACCTGGGAGGTGGAGGTTCCAGTGAGCTGAGATCATGCCACTGCACTCCAGCCTGGAGAAGAAGCAAGTCACTGTCTCAATAAATAAATTTTTGAGAAAATAAAAGCTAAAAAGTCTTTACAATAAAATGTCAATAAAAAAGTTAGAGAAAATCCAAATAAATATAAAACTTTATGGGTTGAAAGAATAAATATCATTAAAGTGCCATATTATCCAAAGTTATCTACAGATTCAATAAACTTCCTATAAAAATTTGCAGTGGTATTTCTTTCAGAATACTGGAAAATACTATTTTAAAATTTATATGAAACTAAAATAAACTTTGAATAGCCAAAGCAATCTTGAGGAAAAAAAAGGATATCATACTTATAATGTCAAGCTGTATTTTAAGACTGTATAGTAATAAAAACAGAATGGATTGTGCAATAAAATGAAAAAAAATGCACCAGAAACTACTGTCACATTTTTCAGACATGATGAAAAAAGAGAACTTAAAAAATAGTTTCAGTTTCTCAAAATCACGCAGATATTTGTGTGTCCCCAAAACAATAGAAAAGCAGCCAGATTGTGCAGTCTCTTATATGCCATGAAGAGGACTTTGGCTCTCACTGTGAACTTTAAGGAAGTTCACTGAAAGAAAAGTAGAATCCTTAGAGAATTTAAAAGTATAAGACTGAAGATGCCCCTTTGTGAGAGCAGAATTAAAAAACAGAAACAAACAAAAAACAGCTGCCCAGGAAATACTTCTTTGGAACACAGCTTCCCGAATCAGATTTTAAGGATTGGCTTTCTCTTTGAGCTTGAGACCTCTTACCTGTGTTGTCTGTTGTATTCATTTTCACTCATACCTGGGGAGTTGGCAATCGTCTGATGTCTCTTCAGAGTCAAAGTTTTTTTTCCTTGCTCCAGATGGGTGATTAGGTCAGGCTTAGGGACAACAATACTGTTGTATTAAGAATAAATAACATGAATCTTGCTCATGTTCTCCAATTACAAGCTAGTAATGTGCTCGGCAGAGCAGATGTAATAAAATATTCTAGTAAATTAGTACCAAAATACTAATTTGTAACAAATTTCTAAATATTTAGAAAATGCTTTCAATTTGTAGATTTCTGAATTTTACTATCTGGTACTACTGAATCAAAAATTGGTGGTGGCAATTAGATTTTCAGGTGGGGGCAAGAATACTTTGTCACTAAATTTTTGGAATTACCACTAATTTAGAGTGAATTATACAGCTCAAATCAGGAATGTGGAAAGTTTGGATTAAGATGAAACATCTTCAAGAGACACTTTTCTACATGAGCGATTTTGGAGATTTTCTGTAAAAAGGGATCTGAAACTTTTCTGCAAAGAATAAATTACTAAAAAAATTCTACATAAAAGAGAAAACCTTTAGGATATGTTATGAATTATGTCTTAAAGTTATCCTCAACAAGGAAGACCATATTTCTGTAGTTCTCTAACATCACATTCATATGCAATTTCCACTGCACAGTGTCCAGGCAATGCCACTCCTCCAGAGAGAATTCTATGGCCACATCTCTAAATAGTAATGATCCTTGAAAAACACACACACACATTTTTACCAAGTGGCCATGGGTGGGATTTTTAATTTGACTTAAAGTGAAATTAGAGAGTAAAAAGAAGTGGTTCTGAGTTATAGCACTAAAATTATCCAATAAAATGATTTTCAACACAGAAATATTTTCTAACGTGTTCTCTGATAAAAAAGAGCACCATAAGATTGAGAACTCCGTTCATATGTTGTATTTTTTCTAGATATTAAAGTATAAAATTAAGGGCATGAACACAAACGTACATTTTTGAGTGCTATATTTACATCATACGGAATGAGTTGTGAATATTTTTCAGATGGAAAAAACATTCAGAAGGAACCTCTCAAATTTACTATGTACCATAAGGTGAAGATTTTCTTACGTAGTTTTTTTTTTTTTTTCCCCCAAGAAGATCTGGAGTAAAGTCTGATTTATATATTTATTTCCTTTTTTAAATTTGAGATGGAGTTTCATGCTTATTGCCCAGGCTTCAGTGCAGTGGCATGATCTTGGCTCATGGCAGTGTCCCCCTCCTGGGTTCAAGCAATTCTGCCTCAGCCTCCTGAGTAGCTGAGGTGACAGGCATGTGCCACCACGCCCAGTTATTTTTGTATTTTAAGTAGCGATGGGTTATTCTCCATGTTGGTCAGGCTGGTCTCAAACTCCCAATCTCAGGTGATCTGCCTGCCTCGGCCTCCCAGAGTGCTGCAATTACAGGCGTGAGCCAGGGCTCCCTGCTGATTTTTTTGAATTTCTAACAAGCTCAGCAGTAATCATATTTTCAGAGGAAGGAGCAGGCACCTTTTTTTGCTGTTCTCCAACCTCCTTGAGTGACATCTCCTGACACAGCAGTGAACCAGATGAATAGGGCCTGAAGTGACTCCCCAGCAAACTGCAGCAGCCCTACAGAATAGGAACCTGACGATTTAAAGAACAACAAGCAAACAGCAACAACAACAGCATCAACAACAAAAAGTACCCACAAAAACCCCATCCAAGGCCAAGCATGGTGGCTCACATCTGTAATCCCAACACTTTGGGAGGCCGAGGTGGGCAGATTGCTTGAGGCCAGGAGCTCGAGACCAGCCTGGCCAACATAATGAAACCCAGTCTCTCCTAAAAAATACAAAGGCCAGGCGCGGTGGCTCAAGCCTGTAATCCCAGCACTTTGGGAGGCCGAGGTGGGCGGATCACAAGGTCAGGAGATCGAGACCATCCTGGCTAACACCGTGAAACCCCATCTCTACTAAAAAAATACAAAAAACTAGCCAGGCGTGGTGGTGGGCGCCTGTAGTCCCAGCTACTTGGGAGGCCGAGGCAGAAGAATGGCGTGAACCTGGGGGGGCGGAGCTTGCAGTGAACCGAGATCGCGCCACTGCACTCCAGCCTGGGCGACAGAGCAAGACAAAAAAAAAAAAAAAAAAAAAAAAAAACAGACAGGCATTGTGGTGCCTGCCTGTAGTCCCAGCTACTCAGGAGTCTGAGACATGAGAATCACTTGAATCTGGAAGGCAGAGGTTGCACTGACCCGAGATTTTGCCACTGCACTCCATACTGGGTGACAGAGTGAGACTATCTCAAAACAAAACAAAAAAACCTCATCCAAGGGTTAGCAGCCTCAAAGATTGAAATTAGACAAACTCATGAAGATGAGAAAGAATCACCAAAATCCCCTGAAAGGCCTCATCTCCTAGAGATGATCACAATGTCTCTTCACCAAATTCACAGAACTGGACAGAGGATGAGATGGATGGAGTGACAGAAGTGGGCTTCAGAAGATGTGTAATAACACACTCCACTGATCTAAAGGAACATGTTCTAACCCAAGGCAAAGAAGCTAAGGAACTTGATGCAAGGTTAGAGGAGTTGTTAACTAGAATAACCAGGTTAGAGAGGAACATAAATGACCTGATGGAGCTGAAAAACACAGCACAAGAACTTCATGGAGCATACAAAAGTATAAATAGCCTAATTGACCATGCAGAACAAAGGATATCAGAGTTTGAAGACCACCTTGCCAAAATGAGGCATGCAGACATGATTAAAGAAGAAAGAATAAAAAAGAATAAACAAGGCCTCTGAGAAATATGGTATTCTGTGCAGGAAATGCATGAGGGGAGAAGAAAAGACACACACAATACCGTTAAGTGTAAACTAGCTTTATCCCACGTAAATGGCAATGCAGATATAATAAGCAAATTGATATCATAAGCAAATTGCAATGGGAAAGGGACAAGGGAAAATATATAAGTAAATGTACAAAACCAAACTATGTGGTCCATAGTTCATTCTATTTAAAAATATGTAGTCCTCATAATATTCTATTTAACAGCCTGTCGTAGCTCTTTGGTGTTCA